CTGAAATTTACGCGTTTTATAAGCATATTGATTATTAAAATCAAAATTTCTATGGTAACGGCTAGAGCAATTGTTTAAAGAAAAAGGGGCTTTAGGTGATAATAATTTGTATCAATATCTCGGTTACATTCACAAATCAAGGTAAGGTTGGGGTGTCTAAGTTTAAAGCGGAAGAAGACATCGTCCAGTCTGGTTAAGCGTCTATGGAGATTTATTTATTTTTATTTTTATGTTATTTTTTATTTTTTTCTGAAAGGGTTTTGTGTATATAAAAACTGTCGTCAATCGCTAACATTTGTTTTTTGACGACTTCATAAAGGGTTATCTTTTTTGGTAGGGCATTTAAACTATTTATTAGGACTATGGATTTTAAAAAATATTTTATTATTTGTTTGATTTTATGCTAATTATTCAATGCAAAATTTGATGATGTCGGCAAAAAACCGTTAACTCGTGTCTATTGTTTAATAGATCTTTATTATTTAGAAACTTAATAATGTGTAGTTTTTCAGGTAGGCATAAAGGGCATGGGTCATCCCAAGTTTTACAAGTTCTAGTTTTGTTTATAATTTTCCATTTTACTTTTGGTGTTTTATTCATTTCCTTCAAATGCCAAAAATATTTAGATAGAGATGTCTGATTTCTTTTATTTGTATTGTTGAAAGAGCACTTATGCTGCCTCCATCTCGTTTTAAATTCATTCTTCGTAGACCCAATGTATATCATATATATATATATATATATATATATATATATATATATATATATACACCGGGTTTAACAGCAAATTTTCTAAATCTTATAACAGCATAATTATCCATCCCACATTAAATGTTTAATATCTAAAAATCACTTAATGGAGTTTCTTTTTCCCAGGTTTTTGGATAATACGTTTAGCCATACTGACACTATTTGTCGTAAGAATCACTGAAAAGCCCTTTGGGTCATTCAGCTAAAAAGAGAGAAGGTTAAAAAATTTTTGTTTCAGACCGATTGTCTTCCCAAGTGAGCAATGATGAGTCGAAAAGTTCATTTAGGCCTTCAGTAATGGCACTAACATTCATACCCTGGCTTCCATCTTCAAAGCTTATTGAAAAAAACCATCAGGAGTACGGTGAATAAATTTTAAAAGAGTGGGAATAGGAGACAGGAAAATTGGATCCGGAGGTCGCAACAGGAAGAAGGATCATCATTTCAACTTGGAGCTAAAGAGATCAATTAGAAAAGATCCAACTCAATTCCTAAGACGTTTGGAACGTGTGAGAGGCGTTTCAGTTATGACAGTCCAAAAGCAGTTAAAAAAAAGACTTGGAAATGAAATCGTGCATGAAACCTGAGGCACCAGGGCAGAAACTTAGAAGGTTAGAGAGGGCTAAGATCATCTTGAATAAGTTAAAAAATGATCCTAGAATATATATATATATATATATATATATATATATATATATATATATATATATATATATATGAGATAATATACAAGATGAACTTTTGTGCAGGAGTTTGCATAGATCATTTAGGGTTATTTATTCTGAAAGGAATGCTTCGTGTGAATGAAATTACTGCTACAAAGACAAGGGTACTAAATGTTGTGTAAAATGAGTACTCTTTTATGGCAGTGAATTCTGGAAAATATACTCACAGTTGAAGATACTTGAAGCAATAGAAATGCAAATGCTACAGAAGGATGCTGAGAATACCGTGGGCCGAACATATGAGGATCGACGAAGTTTTAGAGAAACTGGAAAGAAAAAAAAAGGAGGCTCAAACATAACATCAGAAAGCGACAGTTGATATATCTAGGGTACATAATAAGGAAAGAAGGTTTGGAAAATGTCGTACTTACAGGGCAGAATGAAGTCAAGTGGGGCAGTGAAAAACAACACATAACATACCCAGGAGAGGTAACAAAACATAAAAATTATTAAGAGTTACAAAAGATAGAAATATAAAAAGCTATGATCGCGAACTGGCTGAAGGAACACGCTACATCGAAAAAGTAGTTTATAATATCAGGAAAAATGTTTCGAAATATCTCCAATTTGAATCATGTGAATTATTAAATAAATTGATTCTTTGTTCTTAAAAAAAATCTATTTTTATGATCTCTAGAATCCTGTCTCAAACGAACTGTTCTCTTTTCCAATAAACAATGGCCTTTAATCTTAAAGAAAACCATTCCAGCATTCTCATTGAAATTTAAACTTGCCGTTTTTTTTTTCTTAATTATATAAAGGAAATTAACTCGAAAATTCTATGGACTCAGGTGATAAAATAAAATCTAATTTTACATCGAATTTGCTTTTGATATTCTTGTGATAATAAATAGTACGTTCATCTTTCTAATTTATATAAAAACGAAAACGAAAAAGTAACACCTTTCATCTCGTATCACGCGGATTTTAATAAATTTTAAAACTTTTAAATATAATCCGAGCATTATGCCCAAAGTGTCATCTTGGTGTACTATTCAAAGAATACAAGCCTTACAGCCTCATCACATGGAAACACCGGTTCACGTACGATCACCAAAGTTAAGCAATGTCGAGCCTGGTTTGTACTTAGATTGGTGACCGCTTGTAAGCCTGGATGTGCGGTTGGTGTAATCGGTCGGAATTTGTTAATCTAAAAACCGAGTACCATTTTATGTTCGTTATATTCACTTAGGCGCAAATACCCCTGGGAAAGGTATAAAATCACTTCTTCTCTCTCCAGCTATGGGTTAATTAGGAAAACTATCACTAAAAACATTATCGCAAAAAGATAAATAATTAAAATTGCTTTCAAAATATTTAGATTTCGGTATTAACCCATTACCTACCATGAGCCCGATTTGGGGATCTGTTAAAATTAAACTGACTACATGTTATTGCTTGTATATACATTAAATTGTTTACATACATTTGCAGAGGTGTATTTTACAGCATTTAGCCTTTAAAGTTTTGTATTATTAGCCGTAAGAAGACACTTTTTGTCGTAATTTTACATTTCACGAGTAGAAAAATAATGGCTATTTTGAAAAGTATTTTTTTATTATTTCTAATCAATATTATTTTTTGATGTTTTATACACATATATATTTGATGTTCTAGTTTTTATAAAAACGACAATGGTAACTACTGCAGTTCAACATATGGAATAAATAAACTCCTAAGACACCTATCTGGGACAAGAATTTGGCAGTTAATTTGTTAAATAACTCATAGAGGTGTTGATATGTTGTAAATAAAAATTAACAAACAAAATTATCAATGTGTCTTATTACAATGGAAATAGTATTTTCTGAAAAAAAAATGATTGTTAGTCTCCAGATTTTCAGAGTTCTAAAAATTCAATGGGAGTAGATAGGTTCGTCTATTGTCCGGTCCACTTCCGGTTTCTTGTTTCCAGTTTAGCATTAGATTTCCTGTTCCTTCTATAGTTTTCTCATTGTCTTTTACTCCCAGTAGCCGCTTGCGTCTTAGTGGCAATATCGCCTTGCTTGGTGGGGTGAACTGATTAAAAAAAAAGTACTTAATTAATTTTAATTAAATATTTAGACTTTTCTACCGGTGAAAGATTCTTTTTTGTGGTTTAAATATATTTTTTGCTTCATCCAATAGTAATTTTTTTTATTTTTCAGAAACTTTAGGTTAATGTTTGATACGAATTATTTTCCACCCGGCAACATCTCTCTCAGAGGCGGGATGTGGCAAGCCACTTGCTGCTCTGTCGCCACTTTCATGGAAAGGGTTCCGACGAACTACATTCTCTGGTTTCGCCAGACCCCACCTTCACAGCAAGAACGTGCCACACTACTTACATTGTAGCAATCCGCACATATTTCCTTCTTTTTTCCTTCAGTGAGAATAAGTTTCACTCGAACAGCTTAATCCCGAGACCCGTTGCTCTCTGTAACCGACCCCCAAGATCTTAACCTATTCAAGTCTAGAATTAACAGTTACATTATCTATACAAACTGTCGCCTAACGTAAACCTCTTCCTCGAGTGGCGTCTAGGCCTTGTACAGGGTGAGCCTTATTGTAGGGAAAAAATTAGGATCATATTTAATTCTGTAGCAAAAGCGAATTGAAATCAAATATGGACCGTAATCTTGATGAATGATGAGATAAAGAACAAATAGAAAACATTTATCAATCTATCACTTCACTTTTATTAAAGCTTCATCAGAGAATGAGATATGGGGAGAGAAAGAAATTACGGTATCTTTTAATTTTCGTGTTGGTTGACTTTCATCGGTTAAGCAGGCTTCACGTGCTTTTGACTTGTTAAACAGCGTTATTAAATGTTATAGCTAAAAGGTCCCACTATAAATATCCAGATGTGACGTCGCCCCCCCCCCTGGTCGCAGCGTCGACTCTGTCGTTCGATCTCGTTCGCAGCACTAGTTGTGACGTCACGTGCTCTCCAGGCTCTGATATCCTGGTCACGGACAGCACCAATTGTGACGTCTTTGCCGCGGCGTCAGCTGTTCGCTCCTCGCTGCTCCAAGTGTGACGTTCTAACCCTTTGGTTAGATGAATACCAGCCTCGCCGTTCCCAACTCGCTTCCAACGCCTGGTTACTAGGGTAACTGCACTGATCTCCGGTCTGCCTACCCACGTTGTGATTAGATCTTAGACAGACGGGATCAAACAGGGATTGGGGCCGTATGCCAGCTGGGTTCAGCGGGGGTGATAACACACAAGAAAAAGAAAAACTCACAAGGTCAAAAATTATTGAAAAGAAAAGGTAACAACCTTTTATATCTAAATGTTCATTACACAAAATTGTTCCTACCTCCCGACCCGTTTTATGGACTGTGGCACCAAGCTTCTACCATACAACTTAAAGACTTCGAGTTGCTTGTTCTCTAGAAATTTGCATTTCGGGGTGTGGTTTGGTTTCAACACTGGGCGCTGATTCCTGCCTGTCGTTCACGGCTGATTTCCCTCGCCGTCAGTGCGCGAATTAACTTCTCTTCTGCTTCGGGTGGACGAATTTATTCACTTCGACTTGAGTTGGGCGAATTTCTTTACTTCGACTTGGGTTGGACGAATTTCTCTTCTTAGGCTTGATTTGATTTCAACTTCTTCTAGGCGCAACTGCAAGTTAACTTCTTCTTCGTCTGAGGCGCAAACCCAACTCCAACTTCTCTCTGCCTGTCCGCCCTGCAACTCTTCTGCCTGTCCGGCCTGCAACTGATTTCTGTCGATTGGGGTCCTGCTTTTATTGACGCCGTAACAAACTGGGGTGGGTCTGTCGGCGCCAGGGTTTTCTTGATAATTCTAAAGTCGTATTATTTCTGATTTCCCATTATCGCTCTTACTTTCACTCCTACTTCCTTACAGTGCCTCTGGGGGGGGAGGCGCATACCCGCTTCCCCTGGTCACTCATATGTCAGGTGACCGCTCTCGACCAATGGGGTCCTGGTCGAGCATCTTTCCTCCTCCCTCTCACATCACGTGACCGCTCTCGGCCAATGAGACTCTAGTCGGGTGTTTCTCCTCCTCCCTCATGTATCATGTGACTGCCCTCGGCTAATGAGATTCTGGTCGGTATCTTCCCTCCTTCCTTCGTGACGTCTCCAATCGGGCGTGGACAATCCGTGGCTTTGTTCTGGGGAAGGAACACCTTGCTAAAAAAAGAAAATTTAAATTGTCCTTTTCGTACGAAAATGACAATCCCGGTTTCTTGTCAAAACAGCCTGCCGCTAATTAGATGTGACTTAAAGAAAGAATTTTTTCCGCCCTGTCGGCGTCTTCCGCGAGCTAAAACAATTGTTTCACCTCTTTTCTTTCGCTCGGGGCCTGTTAACAAAATCTTAATTATCTAAATTGAAAATATTCTCCCTCATCATTTTGGGTGGTTCTTATCTTCAACCCTAGAAATGGTCAGGGTTCGTGTATCAATGTTTTGTTTTCGTATACATTTCCCCAGCGGTCAATGACACCCCTCTTCGTTCGTTACCTACTAAGGTTTTTTTCATTGTCCCTAAAATCTTATTTCTTCAACCAAATTGATAATAAACTCCCATACTCCGCGGACACGAAAGTAGGTCAGGTGCTTGACCGACATCTGTTTGCATCAATCGCGCGTGTGCCCATTCGTTCGCGACCCCGTCTCGTTATCATGTTCCTGCCTTTTCCCTTTCTTTCTTTTTATTATTTCTAAACTCTATTCCTTCAATCAATTATAACAATTTCTATTTTTCGTGGATTTCGGTCAGGTATTTTTGGCCTAGATATCTTTTAAGCTTGTGTGCTTATTACAAATTTTTTGTACTATCTATTTCTCTTTCCTTTTTTTCTTTTCTCTTCTTCTTCTTTCCTTCGGATCGCCCAAATTAAATTAGAGAATTATTCTCAAAACTCAATTATTCTTCATCTCTAAATAACTATCAACTGGTTAACAAACCGAATAAAAATAAATCATATATTTATGAATATCTCTATTCAGTTTTCTAATGATGCATGGTGCCACACTTCTTTTTTCCTTCAGTGAGAATAAGTTTCACTCGAACAGCTTAATCCCGAGACCCGTTGCTCTCTGTAACCGACCCCCAAGAGGAATTCTCCTTGAACACTACAATCTTAACCTATTCAAGTCTAGAATTAACAGTTACATTATCTATACAAACTGTCGCCTAACGTAAACCTCTTCCTCGAGTGGCGTCTAGGCCTTGTACAGGGTGAGCCTTATTGTAGGGAAAAAATTAGGATCATATTTAATTCTGTAGCAAAAGCGAATTGAAATCGAATATGGACCGTAATCTTGATGAATGATGAGATAAAGAACAAATAGAAAACATTTATCAATCTATCACTTCACTTTTATTAAAGCTTCATCAGAGAATGAGATATGGGGAGAGAAAGAAATTACGGTAACTTTTAATTTTCATGTTGGTTGACTTTCATCGCTTAAGCAGGCTTCACGTGCATTTGACTTGTTAAACAGCGTTATTAAATGTTATAGCTAAAAGGTCCGACTATAAATATCCAGAGTATTAGAAGTAGTCTTCTGGAAACATCTTGATCAAATATGGCCAGTGATCAATAAATATGACATCTGGCAACAGTTGTAAATCCTAGACAAGATAGTAAAATGTGGAGAAATGATTGACCATCGATCGTAAGAAGATGGAATCTATACTTGTTAGCAAGATGGACAGATTAAGATGCGAGCTATCAAGTGGATACGTTAGAATCAAGGAGATATAGTAATCTAAAGTTTTATAACAGAATATTGGAATTATGACATGTAGTCTTCTGAAAACATCTTGATCAAATATGGCCGGTGATCAATAAATATGACATCTGGCAACAGTTGTAAATCCTAGACAAGATGGTAAAATGTGGAGAAATGATTGACCATCGATCATAAGAAGATGAAATCTATACTTGTTAGCAAGATGGACAGATTAAGATGCGAGCTATCAAGTGGATACGTTAGAATCAAGGAGATATAGTAATCTAAAGTTTTATAACAGAATATTGGAATTATGACACCGCAATCCGAAGAATCATTCTAATAGCTAAAGATGATTTTCAAATATATATATATATATATATATATATATATATATATATATATATGCGTGTGTGTGTGT